CTTGAGACAGGTAACCGCGATCCCTATGCCATCATTTAGCACTGTTTACATTCTTGATAAGGGTTCACTGTGCATGGTACCGACATTGGAGACTCCCAATGAGCGGTCAACCGAGGCTAAGACATTGTCGGCTACGGAATTAGCTAAGGGAGTGAAAAGGGGAGAACTGGCATTCTTAGCCGTACTCAAGGTGGATGACGAGACGGAAGGCCCGACGGACATACCGCCTCTTATTCAAACCGTCCTTGAGGAGAACAAGGACGTGATGCCGGCGAAGCTACCGGATAAGCTACCACCTAGGAGGGAGGTGGATCACAAGATCGGGTTGGAGCCGGGTGCTAAACCGCCTACAATGGCACCCAATCGCATGTCCCCAAGTGATCTCGAGGAGCTACGTCGCCAACTAGATGAGATGCTAGAGACCAGGAGGATGAGATCGTCGAAGGCACCTTACGGTGCACCAGTGCTATTCCAAAAGAAGCCTGATGGGACGTTAAGGATGTGCGTGGACTATCGGGCGCCAAACAAGGTAACAATCAAGAACCGCTATCTGATTCCTTTGATTGCTGATCTATTTGATAAACTTGGTGGAGCCAAGATATATACGAAGATAGATTTGCAAAAGGGTTACTACCAAGTGTGAATAACGGAAGGGGATGAGCCAAAGACTGCATGCGTTACACGTTACGGCTCATTCGAATGGTTAGTCATGCCCTTTGGACTAACCAATGCACCGACAACGTTTTGCACACTAATGAACAAGATCTTCCAACCTTATTTGGACTTGTTCATGGTGGTTTACATGGACGATATTGTGGTCTATAGCAACTCAATTTAGGAGCACGTGGAGCACCTACGCATTATCTTCCGAGTACTCCGAGAGAACGAACTTTATGTGAACATGGAGAAGTGCACGTTTGCCACGAAGGAAGTACACTTTCTTGGTCACATCATTGGACATGGAAAGCTTATGATGGACATGGGAAAGATCAAGGCAATCGTGGAATGGGAGGCGCTGACCAAGGTAACTGAACTACGCTCTTTCCTTTGTTTGATAAACTATTACTGGCGGTTCATCGAGGGGTATTCCAAGAGGGCAACCACATTAACGGACTTACTCAAGAAGGGGACAAATTGGGAGTGGTCCGACCGATGTCAAGAGGCCTTTGATGACCTGAAGGCCGCGGTAAGCCAAAAGCCTGTTCTAGCTCTACCGGACTTTGGCAAACCGTTCGAGGTAGAGACTGATGCCTCCGACTTTGCCATAGGAGGAGTTTTGATGCAAGAGAGGCATCCGATAGCATTTGAGAGCCGCAAGTTGAACGAGACGGAGCAGCGCTATACCGTGCAAGAGAAGGAGATGACCGCAGTGGTTCATTCCTGCGCGTATGGAGACACTACCTCTTAGGCGCACACTTCATCATCAAGACGGACAACGTGGCAACACGCTATTTTCAAGCTCAAAAGAAGTTGTCACCCAAGAAAGCTAGGTGGCAAGATTTCCTAGCAGAGCTCGACTACACTTTGGGGTACAAGCCGGGGAAAGCCAACGTTGTAGCCGACGCGTTTAGTAGGAGGGGACTTGATCGGGCGCATCAAAGAGGGACTTGAACACGACCCTATGGCTAAGGAGCTGATGAAGTTAGCCAAGGAGGGCAAGACCCTACGATTTTGGGAAGAGGACGGTCTTCTCTACACAAAGGGGCATCGTCTCTATGTCCCAAAACGGGGGAGTTTGAGAAGAGATCTCGTCAAGGAGTGCCATGACACGAGGTGGGCTGGTCATCCTGGCCGAAAACGCACGCTGGCACTTGTCGAGACCGCATACTTTTGGCCACAGATGAAGGACACTGTGGAACTCTATGTGAAGACATGTCTATTGGAGCCATTCCCTACTCTGGAGCGTCCGTGGGACTCTATTTCTACGGACTTCATTAGTGCCATACCGAAGTCTGATGGGTTTGGATCTATCATGGTGGTGATAGATCAATTTTCTAAGTATGGGACGTTCATCCCGTGCACGAAGGATTGCACAGCTGAGGTGGCGGCACAGGGGTTCTTCAAGAACGTGGTGAAGTATTGGGGGCTACCGAGGAGCATAGTGAGTGACCGAGACCCCCGCTTCACGGGCCGACTGTGGACGGAGTTGTTGAAGTTGCTTGGGACACAACTCAACTTCTCTACAAGCTTTCACCCGCAAACCGATGGGCAACCCGAACGGGTGAATGTCTTGCTAGAGTGCTATCTTAGGCACCTTGTGAGTGCCAACCAACGAGATTGGGCGAGACTCTTGGACATAGCCCAATTCTCCTATAACTTACAGCGGAGTGAGTCTACGAGACGGAGTCCATTTGAGCTTGCAACGGGGCAACAACCACTGATTCCACACACATTGGTGACCTCACTCCACGACGAGAAAAGCCCAGTAGCATTCAAGATGGCGAAGTCCTGGGAGGAACAAACCGATCTAGCTCGTTTGTGTTTGGAGAAAGCACTCAAGCAGATGAAGAAGTGGGTGGACGAGAAGAGGCGGCCAAAGGAGTACACCGTGGGGGACTTAGTCTTTGTGAAACTCATGCCACAAAAATTCAGGGCATTGAGAAGCTTACACAAGGGCTTAGTCCGTAGATACGATTGGCCATTCCCGATAATTGTTAAGGTAGGAAAAGTCTCATATAAGCTTGACCTACCTAATACTTTGAAGATTCATGGGGACGAGGAAGACCCAAGCCGAAGATTATCAAGCTGAGCACCACCCGTGGTCACTAAGTCTTATGCAAAAGAGATCAAGGACGTGCTCGCAACAAAGGAGGTTCGTAAGAGGGGCGTTCCACGCCAAAATCATTATTTGATCAAATGGAAGGGACTACTCGAGTCGGAAGCGACGTGGGAAGCTGAAGAAGACTCGTGGCAGTTCCGGGACAAGCTCGAGGTGCACAAGGCGATGAGGACGTCGCCAAGTTCGGTGGGGGAGAATGTCACAAGTCTCCCATATTTTGCAGATATGCCGCGACATGGTAGGCTAATACACCGCGACATGGAAGTTCATTACGCTGCAACATACTTGTGACAAAGTGCCAAGCTGGAGTCTAGAATTTCCCAAGATAAAAGGGCAAAATTCAGGAGGTTAAGAGAATAATCTAGACTCATGTGGATATTTGTACACTTGTATAGAGTATAGTAGAATACTCTAGAATATCATAGAGTAGTATAGAATACTCTAGAATTTAATCGTAGCCGTTAGATCAAATAGATCTTGACCATCCATTGAGGAGGAGGACAAATATAAATAGCCCTCAAGGTGGTTCATTTGTACACATCAAAGTTTCCAAGCATTCAATAAAGTTCTTAAGCTTTCTTCAAGTGATCACTTGCCTTTACCACCTTCCCTGGCCAAGCATTTAGCACACACAACACTAAGGCGTTGTTCGAGGCTGACTTAGCTATTGCGAGGGGCAAAAAGGGGCTAAGGTCGCACGTGAGCTTGTTAAGGGAACAAGTCTGTTACATACTGGAGGCCCGACACGATCGTGCCTGCTAGGGAGGCAAGCCATGCCTGGGTACGAGATAGGCGGTTACTCCGCAGGCACGGACGCCAGGCACGCCGTGCCTGCGCTGTAAGTCCTTGTTTGAGCCGATTTTCACCTGTTTTCTATAAATAAGGCCTTCATATCCCTGTTTTGGGGTTACAAAATTTAGAGAGAGAGGCCTAGGGACAGATTTCTACGTGTTTTTCCGCTTTATTCTTCAAGACCCTGAGATTATTTGTAAGTTCCTACTTTTTAATTAATGACAATTAATTATGTTCATCCCAATTCTGTTGATTCTTCAATTATGAATTGTGAGTAGTTTTAATTAGGAATTTGGGATTGATGAAGGAGTTAATCACGATGTATGGCTAAATTCATAATGGATTAATTGTGTTTGAATGTCGTTTAATTTGTGTTTGAATGATTTAATTGATACTCTTGTAACCTAAATTCATAAGGGATTAATTGTATGAATGTCGTTTAATTTATGTTTGAATGATTTAATTGATACTCATGTAACTTAGAACTGCAGCTATAATTACAATTGCTTGTAGAATAAATTAAGAGAGATCTAGTTTATTCTAGTACACCTTCACACACACTTAATGGGATGAAAGGGGACAATCTAAGGGAATGTTTGGAACTCCCAACTCAGTTTTTATAAGAGTAAATTAGAGCACCAGAATCACTTCTGCATTTTCATCCAAACACTTTAACTTCTGATTCTGCTCCTTGAAGGAGCAGAAAAAGTTTTAAGAATTAGATCCAAACATACCTTAAATTTTAGGGAAAGTTCCTGAAATAGGACTAAAATAGTTTGAAAATTCCAAAATAGGACTGCCATGTTTTATATTCCCAAAATAGGAGTAATTATTGCCATGTTTGGAAAATACTGCCGTGTTTGAAGTCTGGTACTGCCAAAACATGACAGTAATTAGTCCTATTTTGGGAATAAAAACATGACAGTCCTATTTTGGAATTTTCAAACCTTTTTAGTCCTATTTCGAGTAATATTCTCTAACATTTAAAAGGCAGGGAGTACCATATTGTGTACGCTGTATAATGTAATTTTACATTTATTTTATTCGAGTAAAATAATGAGTTTTTTTCGAATTAATGCTAATTAATTAATTAATTACGAAAATAATGCTGGGTTAAAAGTATTTACCGATCTACTGCTTGGTTTAACCATGGCCGGGGAAAGTCGCCAAACGGTTAGGCGACTTATAAGTCGCCATCCGGTTTGGCGACTTATAAGTCGCTCAACCGTTTGACGACTTTCCCCCTGCATCTGCAAAAAAACAGTAAACTCAAACCAGACACACACCATTACAAAACATACAACACCCCTGCTCACAAACACATACAAAACATCTGCTCTCAACAACATAAAAAAAACATATATACCCGATACAAATAGGATACAAAACAGAAGATTCATAACCAGTAAAACACAGTACAATCATCCAATATTCATAACACAGTACATTCATCTAATATTCAAAACCGAACACATCAACACATCATAAAAAGTTTGCAGGTGGAAATACGTAAAATAAAGTGAATTGTTCCTACAACATCCAGTGTACAAGAAAAACTCCAATACAAAAGACAAACTAGAAGTTCTCATGGTCTTCTTGATCGTCTTGGTCATGGACATATTGTTGTTGCTTCCTACGCCTACGCAGTTGTCGTGGTTGAAGAACCACTCTCTCATGCTGAGTCTGGGATGATGAAGCTGCCGCTGCACTAGATGTCGATGCCATATCCTGAGATGGGGGCATATGTATAAGATGGCCGTAGTCGACTCGCCCCAACACATATGAACACAAGGAGGCAATGCCCGTCAGAGCCTGTCCGTACATGTCCACGTCATGCGTATCACTCACTGTGGTAGTAACCCGCTGATGTATATGTTGCAAAGCTCGTGTCTGAAATATGAAACAGAATTATAATTAGTTAGAAATAAATAAAAGTATTAAATAAAGAAAATGACTTACTTTAGTAATTCGTAATATACTCAACGTCAAATGCAAAGCCAAGGAGCTAGGCTGATAATGGTGAGTAAGGAGTCTGAACGAAGGAGACACAAACAAACGAGTGATGTTGTAATACCATCCCATGTAGTCTCCCGAAACAGATGGGACTAATGTCGGTGTCCCAGCCACAACAAGCTCAGCTCGCCTCTCCCACATAGTGACGTATTGGACATGTCTGAGTGCCCAATCCTCCCTATGCTTCCCACGCCTATCCAGCCTATGAAGCTCTACATATGTGTCGATAGGTGCTGGAATGACATGCTCATACCTAAACTGTCACAATACACGATCAGGAAAATGAAGCTAAAAAATGTCAAAACATATCAACGACACACATGCTCGCCATATGTGAGAATGCTCTCGTCCAGCGGGGGGCAACTCTGCAAACATCTCAGCTGTATAAGGCATCCATGTAATCTGTTTCATAAAGATACAAAATTAGTATTTATGCTATACATATTATAGTTAATGTTATATTACGCACACCATACCTGATCCTCAGACATTCGATCAAATGCATCCTTGTAGACACCGAGCCCAGAAGCCGATGATGTGCGACATAGATCAACAAATAGCCATCTAACCATTCATGTAGCACATATTAATATGAATATTATTAATATATTTATATTCAACATACAATAACATAAATACAAACGATTGAAAACATATCAGCAACCCAGAGGGTCCTCGCCCCGTACATGATGTGGTCCCAGCATATATGGAGGCTCATCAGGCAGTGGGTGTCCATCAATGCCATGGTATGCCACTCTAATGGGACGCCCAATGTGGATGTACTCCCATGACCAAATCTGGAGAAGAAGCAAAAATCCTCCAAGCTCCGTGCTCCCGCTCTGGCAGCCGCGACACAGATGTCTATAAAGATAAGCCAGCGTGGCACTACTCCAACTGAACTGTGCTGCTACATCAAACATCTCTAGCATAGGCAAGTACAACACCTGAATCTCATTTCCGCTCTTGTCAGCGAAAATGGAAGCTCCCATCATCCTCAAAATATAAGCCCGTGCATGCTGCTTGATCATCACCTCATCAGCGTCCAGATGAAGAACAACGAAATGCTCCCTCAACCATGACATTCTCAGAGATGACCCCTGAAGGTCAGCCCGAAGAAGGGGGCAAACACCCAACAAATGCTCACACTCATCAACCCACTGTCGACAAGCAGTACCAGTAACAGCTCTCCCATCCACCTCTAACCTAGTCAGTACAACAACATCTCCCAAGGTCACTGGCACCTCACCAACAGGGAGGTGAAATTTGTGCGTCTCCTGCCTCCAATGCTCAAGAAGAGCAGTGAGTAGCGCTCTATCGAGAGGGACAATAGCATCCAATCTATGCAGATAATAAAAACCCGCAGCACGAACATATGCAAGTACTCTGTCGTCCACCTGCACGTGCGACAAACCACGGAGGTGCTCGCGGCACCTATCCACCTGAACATCGAGGCCACGCCACACATCCTCACTCATGCGTGTGGCCTGCAATGTCAGGACAAAACGATCACTCGGCCCGGGATCCGCTGACACCTCCATGCCTACAAAAAAAGGATATTAGTTAATTTTTACTATTTAATTTATTTATTTTGTTTAATTAATATTTTATTAATTAATTTTTTTACATTCCACGTTAGTACCAATTGTGGAGTATTACAACTAAAACCTTACCCAGTCAACCCCCCTCCATCTCTTGATGATTTCTTCGCACACGTGGCTCTATTATGGCCGCTTTGTTTACAATTTCCACATCTAACCGTTCCTCGAGGACCTTCATCCATCTCATTCTTAATACGTGTGGACTTAGGTCTTCCCTTAGCCCGAAGCATGGATGGATCGTGCACAATTTCAGGTCCATTGTAAGTCGACCAATAATCACGGTCAGGAATAGGTTTAAAGACTCTTTGATATGTAGCAGCGGATTGGGCAGATGAGAAAAAAGGATCCACAAATGGATAAGAAGACAAACTACGTTGTCTGCATACGGCTAATACATGGGAGCATGGAATCTTATATATTTCCATCTTTTTACAAGTGCAAGTACGCCGTCGTAGATGGACAATTTGCTTTCTCCCACCCTTTCCCAACGTTCAGCCACCACATCCTGTTTCCACTTGGTATATCCCTCGGCCTATATCAAATGGAGTAACAGTGTGTTGCTTGACTTTCTCTCTATTCTTCTCAATCAAATCCATGATGTGTGGGGAGTAGTCGTGCCCTTCTGTCACTCTTCTTTTACTACTTTCACGCCTATTAACAAAATAAGCATTAATGCGGTAAAAGGAAACCTGGACCAAAGTGGGGATGGGCAAATATCTAGCATTTTTCATCACGCTGTTGAAGACCTCAGCCAGATTAGAAGTGATGGTACCGTATCTGTAACCGCCATCGTGGTGTAATGATCACATTTCCAAGGGAATGTTCCCCAGAAATTGTCGTGCCTCCACTCGCATTTCCCCTATCTTCTTGAACCCACCATCAAACTTCTTTTTCTGATGTTGCAGTGCGGTCCAGACAAACAGATTTTTTAGGTGAGTGTCTTTGAAATAAGTGTGCACATTTGACGCAAGATGGCAGATATATAGCCTATGGTGTGCATAAGGCTCCTCCCAAGTACTGCCCACCTCATTCATTGCCTTGACTATACCTGCATGTCGATCAGAAATGACACACAACTCCCTATGAGTGACAAACTCCCTAATGCATGCCATAAATCATGGCCAACTCTCCCCATTCTCAGATTCAACAACTGCAAAGGCCACGTGAAATATTTGGTTGTTCGCATCACTACCCATAGCCACAAGCGATGTATCATTGTACTTCCCATACAAGTGTTGCCATCAATAGCAAGTACGGGTCGACAATGCTTAAAACCATGTATTGAAGACTTGAATGCCCAAAATACTCTCTGAAACTGCATATAACTTGTGGGAGTAATAGGGGGTGGGTACCAGTGAACAACAGTTCCAGGATTGGAATGTTGGAGCGTTGTCATGAAATGGGGTAATTCAGAATATGACTTCTCCCAACCCCAAATATTTCTGCAATGGCCTTTTGCTTGCCCATCCATGTTCTCCTGTATGATACCGTATACCCGTACTTTTCTTTCAACATCTCAATGATAGTATGCACTTTAAGGGAAGGATCAGTGCGAAGAATGTCAATCACATCTTTAGCAACGAAATCTGAAGTCATTGCCACGTGATTAGTACTGTCGGTGTAGCCAACACAGGTATCAGAATGAGGTCTGGGATAACGCACTACTGTGAAGTTGTCGAGGTTTCCTTTGTTCGTTGTGGCGTGTATTCTCCAGGGGCAATCACGTTCCTTCTTCCTCTTGCACTCTGCAACCCATTTGTGTTTATCGGACTCCAACACCCGATAAAATTGGTTCCGTTTAATAGAATACAAGTTCACCATATTGATGACTTGTTCTTTGTTGTCAAACTGTTGACCAACCTCAAACTCACCTTCGGGTGTAAACCTTTTCATACCTGCTCCACTCATCCACGCATCGGTAAAGCCTTCAGGGAGATCATATATTCTAGTAAAGTGGCTAAACGGGGCAGTTGACGTGACAGTATCACCATCATCTTCATCAGATTCTGTCATGTCATCACCATTGATGTTATCATCAGCATCATCATCACTTCCTTGCCCATCCACAAATGATGCATTATTATGCAAATACCTACCCTCTTCCTCTATAACCATGTCCAGTACAACAGCATTTGAGGAGTTCTCTGCATTGACACTGCATTGACACCATGCCTAGATACAACAACATTTGATGTTGATGGAGTACCATCAACATGACATATGGATTTCTCAATGTATATCTTCAGCGTGGACATACCATCCATATGAATTATGCACCACATATTTGATACAGCTAGCTCATCAACAAGTGGCATAAGTATGCAATTTCCCCCGTTCATGGGAAATTTCATTTTCAACCGCAAAGAATGGCTCGGAGGAATCATTGTAGCTGCATGGATTTTTTGCAGCATCTCGAGCAAGCATGCGCCACGAGAAACAATGACAAAGCCGCTTCTACCACCTTCATGGCGTATTTGGCCACCTTCCTCAAATACGTTCCCTCCCCAATGACACACGATTGGGAAGTTGGAGAAATCAATATTCTAATAAGCAAAAACGTACTCCCTCCGTCCCCTTTCAAATTTCTCGTTTTACCATATTGAGATGTCCCTATTTAATTGTCTCATACCTTATTTGGTAAAGCTTGTGTGGTTTAAAATCATTCTTACTTTATGCTTACTTTATCAATTATTATCAACTACACAAACCCACTTTTTTTAAAACTCGTGTCACCCTCTTCCGCGATATTTAAAATGGGACAGAGAGTAATTATTTATTTAATCCGCATTAATACTGAAAAAAAACTCTAAAATAATATGGGGCCTGTTTTAAACAAGGCCGCTCCATTCCACCGCCCTGCTCAGTGGTTATTAAGTTAGGGAAGTTGCAGTCATGGGAGCTCTCTCTCCCGCGCCTCATTGGCTTCCTCATGACGACTATGTACTAAAAAGCGCAGCCGAGGTAGTAATGAAAACGAAAAGCCTTTATTAAAACCGTTGGTTATACATATATATTGCCCGTTTCGTTTTATAATAAAAATATACTGTTTAGCTCTTGTTTGGGGATCATTCTCGTTGATCGGTTTTATGTTTTCCTACGAATGGTTATTTTTTCCACGCTATCTATTTCGTTTTGGTTTTGTATGGCGAGTGTCAGTGTTTAGTTTCATGGAACCTTTTTGTTTGTTTAGAAAAATGTGATTACTTTTCAGTTTTCACTTACAGTTCCTGCATGATTAGCTTTCCTTTTGGCGTTCTTGGGTCATGAAAATAAAATGGAACTAATTTGTTTTATCCTGAATGGAGATTTTTTCTTTTAGGTGAAAAAGTATGAAAGTTGGAGCTAATAGAAGGTGAAATTTGAAACAAATAACTCTCGAATCTTGATCAGGCCCTATGATATGCGAGGGCAAAATGTATATAATCATAGGAGATTGTTGATATTCATAGATTTATTTAAGTATTATTTTTTCATAGTTTTTTTGTGTCGATTTGGTTTTTCTTTATTTTTTGCAATGATCAGAGAATTTCATAATATTGTTGTTTTGCTCAATTCCTTTTTTGTTGGTTTTAGGCTGGTGCTTCATTAGAGTCACTTGCTAAAGGTGCTGTGCAGTTTTCCCGTCGATTTACTATTCAAGAATTGCACGAAAGATGGAAGTCTCTTCTATACGATTCAGTTGTTTCAGAACAGGCATCAGTCAACATGCTCCAATTTGAACGTTCTTTTTCACAGCCATCGAAGCATAATAATAGCAGCTTTGACAATGACAATAAAGACATCAATGTATCTGTTTTGGGGAAGAGACAAACCGAGAGTGTCAAAAGCTGCTATTATTCCATGCGAAAGAGAATCCGCAATGAAACATTCCTTCCTTCCATGGATATGGATTTTGTTACTGGCTGTTCTGGTAATCAAAGTAGTAGTAGTAATAGTAATAGGAATTGTAATGCTTGTGATCCTCCTCCACTACCGCTAGATTCTTCATTGTTTGGAATTTCATTGACAGATCAATTTGGTGAGTTTGAAGTCCAACTATTACATTCACCGTTTGGATATTCACCTTCGTCTGAGATGCCTCCACACTGTAATATGGGAAATGATTTCATGCTTCCTGTTGATGATGGAGTTATTATCCCATCAGAACCTTGCAAAATGGAGGATCAGATGGGAATTTCCACTCCTAGCACTGATGATCTCTTAGCACAAATAGATTCCATCCTCAACTCCACGAGTGACGATGATATGTTCCCAAAAGATAATATAAAAAACGAATCTTATTTGGACACTTACGGGTCACTTCTGTTGGACTTTCCAAACAATGGAGGAGAAGCAGAAAATGAAGAGAATATTGTATTACCATCCATGGAACAATCATCATCTCACAAATCTCAGTATCATCATTACGGTGGTGATCAAATGCTAATATCATCGGCTCTGAGTGTCAATCCCGCATGTCCGGAGCTGCGTAACGGGGTAATATGCTGTACCTTAAACACAGAGGATCCGGATATCCCTAGCAACGATGACGTTTTCCTTCCCGTCCTGATTCCATCAACACCTTTACCCTCTGCTATACTGTGCAAATATGACGAGACTTACCGTCCGGTGTTAAAAAGTGCTCCGGATATCCAAACAAACAACAACGGATGGTCTTACTCGAAGAAGATTGACAGAAGTAATGTGGTGGTACCCAATAATGGCCTAATAGTTTTACCTATTAGGGACACCTGGAATGCGGTAACGAGCAACACAAGCTTGAATGAAGGTCCTAAAGTAGTGATTTCACCGGGAAGAATAACCTGTACTAATACAATGTGTGACCTACCTGTAGTGGAAGGAAGTGATCACACAAAGAAGACTGTTACCATCCAAAGGGAATTAGGAGGTTCCAAGGATACTCCACAAAGGCAGGAATTTGGCTGTCCTCATGATCAGAGTGCAAAAAAGTCAATGTTAGATCAGGAAGCAATGCCCGATGATCATAGTGATGAGGAAATACCTTTTTTTTCAGATGTTGAGACATTGGTGAGGAAGAATAGCTATGAGCTTGTTTGGGGTAACTTATGATATAAATAAGTTTTCGCAAGTTTTTCATTTTAGTACTTAAAAACTTTTTTTTTGAAGAACACCAATCTTTTTCTTTCTTAATTAAGAAGTAAAGGTCTTTATTTAACGTTAACGCAGTTTTTTTGCTTTTCGTGCCAAACACTTATTTTGAAGTACAATTACCTTTTTGCCCTATAAAAACCACTTATTCCTTAAAAATAAGATATCCCAAACACTCTATATGTTTGTAGGGTAAGGAATTTAGTGTCTGAGTAATCAAGACTAATACTGCGTATTTGTTGTTTTTTGAGATTCTGGATATGGACCTGAGCCCTGATGACAAAGACATCTCCTTTAATAAGAAAGGTATGGTTTCGGTTCATCTGTTGTTGATAACTACGAGTAGTATTTACTCCTTTATATGCCTAACAGGCTAACACACAGGATTGCTGATCTAGTTATACATAGCAATTTCATTTATTTGTGTCTTTGATCTGTTTGTATACTCTTTTAGATGGATTAGAATGTAAAACATGGCTAGCATGTCCTGTGAAGTTTCTATAATGCATTTGACCATTTCAGAATGTAAGGAGAACATAAGAAGCTGCCCTGATTTTCTCCTAGAGGCCAAGGTTCCAGCAATGTCTATTACTATAATACAACATCCAAGCTTTATTCCCAAAAAGATTTTGGGGTTGGTTAAAATGAATCGATCAATGATATTAGAGCCAAAAAGAGAAGAAAGGTAAGAGGAAAAAAAGTATGATAAAATGAATAAGATAAAGATAAATATAAGATACCAATAACATAAGAACATAAGAAAGATAAAAGATAAAAAGATAAAAGAGAATAAGAAAGAAAAAGATAAAAATAACAAAAGAACATAGAAAGAGAATTTGAGTTTGCACCCCACTTTTTGGGTGATATTGGACTTTGCACCCCAATTTGAAAAAACTTTGATTTTGCACCCCAGCACATATCACTTTGTGAAGAAAATTTTCTACATGGGGTGCAAAGTCAAAGGATTTTTAAGTGGAATGGGGTGCAAAGTCAAAGTTTTTTCAAAATGGGGTGCAAAGTCCAATATTATCCAAAAAGTGGGGTGCAAAGTCAAATTCCCCCAAAGAAATACAAGATAAACGATAAAAGAAAAAGAGAGAGAAATGAGAGGAAAGAGAGAAAAGAGATCAATCGTCCACACGACGATATTCATATTTCGGTTCATGTCATGTGATGTGACTAAGATATACGGTTGGCCGTCACGCGTCTACCACATCACCCTCCTCCTTTATCCTGGTTTGGGACAAGCATGATATCAGAAATAATCTCCTAGTGGGACAGCCTCCTGAGATCCCTTCCGTCAGGCTGGCAGACAGCCTCCTCCTGAGCTTCCTTCCATCAGGCTGGCAGGCAGCCTCCTGAGCTCCTTTCCGTCAGGCTGGCAGGCAGGCTCCTTGCCGGGCTGGAAGACAGGCTCCCTCCTGGGCTGGAAGACAGGCCTCCCATTGGACTGACAGGCTGGCAGGCCGTCTTGGACTTCCGCTCTGCTGGACCTCCGCTCCTTGATGGGTTTGATTGGTAGGGCCGGCTTGAGCTTTGGGTTGCTGGGCCTGCTGGTTGGGTTGGCCTGCTGAGACAATGGACCCAGACTTAGGCCTGCTGGTCTAGGTCGTGGGCTTGGACTCACGGGTCCAAGTTTTGGGCCTGGGCTGACTAGACTCTAGGCCTAGTCTCATAACCCCACCAGTCACTATCCTGCACTTAATTCCCATTGAACAATGCATCAAAGTATACCTTCACCTCTCTTTTATTTCCTCATCCTCAATTAGTATCTATGAAATTTATTAGAATAAATGTAGAATATGCTTTGGAATATTTTAAGAATATAATCTAGACTAGAATATTATTATGTTATAGAATCTTATAGGATATTTTATCTTTGTAATGTATGTTTATAGGGGTGAATGTATATTTATAGGGACTTCAACAATAAAATCACAGAAAATCATTCCCTCTTCCTATTCTATCTTATATCCTCAGTTACAACATGGTATCACATTTTATAAGAGCATTTCCAGAAATTTCAGAACCTTTTGAGCTTTCAGCTCATTTTTTTCTGCTAAACTTCAAAGTGAGAGTTCTCAGATCCTCAGAGTTCTTGATCTCTCTGTATCGTTCTTTTTAGTCTAACTTTAGGCTAGTTTATTGACTTTATTCAGAAACATTATTTAGAGCATTCTACTCTGGCGACTTTTTGTTCCGCTTCTACTCTTCGACAGCCTGATCTCTACTTTCTTTTCTGTGATCTGTACTCCACGACTCAGATCTCCAGTCAGATTCAGAGTTCACTCTCCATCGTCTCATTTCCAATCCCAGAAGATGCCAATATCTCCGGTGACCAACTTGCTGAAATCCACCACCTAATTTCTTCGCGGCTGAAGAACACACGCTAGAATTTCGATCTGCAGTCACTCAACATCTCGCCTAAGCATCCTTTACCTCAGGTGCGAGTCATTTCAGGTATGCTCAGTTTCTAAATATGAAATCCTCTCCCATTTCTTTTCCAGAAAGACACAGAAGGTTGTCTTTGAAGAAAAAAGCACGTGATTGTCACTGTTTGGAGATTAGTTTTAGAAAAGTGGAGGTCAGATCAAGCTCTGTGACGGCTCCCAGAGTTGCTGATTTCATCGCAAAAATAGGAGACTAGCTTTACAAAATAGAAGATAGCTGGAGGTCAGTTTTAGAAAATAGGAGACCTGCAACATTTGGACAACGTTCATATGCCTTAATGCCCAACGTTCATATGACTTAATGCAGCTCGAATGGACAGATTCTTGGAAGAATCAATGCCAGCATGCTGGACATTGATGTCCAACGTTCACACCATAATACTGCCCATTAACACACCCAAATTCTTCCCCTATAAATTGGCTAGCAGGTGGTTTGCAACAATAAATCGCCAACGCATATTCTACATTTATTCTAATAAATTTCATAGATACTAATTGAGGATGAGGAAATAAAAGAGAGGTGGAGGTATACTTTGATGCATTGTTTAATGGGAATTAAGTGCAGGATAGTGACTGGTGGGTTTATGAGACTAGGCCTAGAGTCTAGTCGGCCCAGGCCCAAAACTTGGACCCGTGAGTCCAAGCCCACGACCTAGACCAGCAGGCCTAAGTCCGGGTCCATTGTCTCAACGGGCCAACCCAACCAGCAGGCCCAGCAACCCAAAGCTCAAAGAAAAAAAAGGGAGAAGCAGTAAAACAAATGTCTTGTACCGCTCAATTTGGTAGAGGAGTAATATGCAATTCCTCTGGTGGATCAATTACTCTTTTTTCAGATGAGTATGCCAATTTTCCTTGCTATTAAGAATCTCTAAAGCATTCCTTAGTTCCTATCTTGTCTCTTGGATGTCTGTTATTCATGTAATTCAAACACATGTCTAGTCTCTTCATCCTCGAAAGGGGTCATTAACTCAAGTGCCACACTGCCACATACCATATGACCGGTAATCCTCATCTTTTCTGACCAGTACTCGGGTCAGCTACAATTGTTCTCACTTCAATATTACCGTTATCACATATTTTCAGTCTTTCCTAACTTTGCATCTAATTTACTTTCGATAAGTAAAATCACCCGTACCCTTAACTATTCTGAAACATTCTTTCCTAAATATCGAGTGTTTAAGGATCAAATGGTGAAGCAGACTATTGGTAAAGGACATGAGTCGATAGGTCTTTGCATTTTGGACACATCAATCCCAAAAGGTATCTCTTGACTCTTGTCTTGGGGTTGAAACATTGTTAGAGGTCCATTATCGATTATGACACCCATCTCTACCACTAATGAAGCAAATATATCATCAGTTTAATAAGGTGTCGTCTTTACAATGTGAATCATGTCAATTTGTGAAACATTATCGTACCAGTTTAAGTCATCGAGTTAATAAATGAGCAAATTCTCCTTTTGATCTTGTTCTAATATAAATCAGAATTTGGGCTTGGAGGAAGAGGGGCAGAGGCCCCTGCGGGTTTACTGAAGGTGGGGACGGACTTGAGCCCACCTTCGTAGGCTGGTTGCGGGCCGTTTAATTAATTTTTATTTCTTCATAATTTTCCCGATTTGTTTCCTATTTCTAGTTAATTAGGATTTTTATTATTTGTTTTCTATTTGGAGTTAATTAAGATTTCTATTCTTTGTTTCCTATTTGGAGTTAATTAGGATCTCTATTATTCTATTTCCCATTTGGAGTTGATTAGGATTTCTATGATTTTGTTTCCTAGTTTGGGAATTAGCAAATGGGTATTTAAACCCTTGTTAGGATTCATTCTTGCTGATTAGTTAATAAAATTGGATTTCAGCCTATTGGCTTTGGGCAATGGTTTCTACTGTTGATTATTACTGGGCAACGGTTTATTCCGTTGATTATTTTATTTCTGCTCTCAACATGTTCATTCTGATGTTTGGGATGCTTGTCCCGTCGAATCCAAATATGGTCTTAAATATTTTGTTATCTTTTTTGATGATTATTCTCATATGACGTGGCTATATTTCATGAAACGTCAATTTGAACGGTTTACTCATTTTTCTTCCTTTTGTGCTGAAATTAAAACTCAATTTAATGTCCCTATCCGTGTGTTACGATGAGACAACACCCAAGAATATCTATCTAACACATTTAAGCCATTTATGCTTCAATATGGCATTATTAATCAAACATTTAAACCTCATGCGTCGAAACACCTCCTCAAAATGGAGTTGTTGAATGAAAGAACACGCACTTGATAGAATCTGTAAGGGCTCTTCTATTCCAAATGAATGTTTAAACAGTTTTCGACCGATGTTGTGTCCATGGTTGTCATGGCGGTAAGGCTAGTTGGGGCGCTAGCTGACCGCCTTATCGTCTAGGCGATTAGGCCCCCACCTAGGCGAGTAGGCGAGTTGTCACACCATATGTAATATATATATATATATATATATATATATATATATATATATATATTGGTTCAAGTGAGAAATGCATCTAATGTGAGAAATGAGAATGAATTTCAGCCATTAGATTCATTCTCATATCTCACCTAAAGGGTTCTTCTCACTTGAACCTTACCCTATATATATTATACGAAATATTATTTAAGTATGACGCCTTTGAAGAACATGGGCAGATCCTAATACTCTAGTTATATCTTGTAAAGACTCCCAGAATCTTGAATGTCATTTTGTTATATATTCATAAAAATAAAATACCGTTTAGGTCGCATATATCAAGTCTATAAATTAACTGGTGTGCTCAATTATGAATACTTTATCTTCTTAACTGTGGTTACTTTTCTCCAGTTCTCCATCATAAGATATATTTCGTAAAATATAAAATAAATACACTATTGTATATGAAGAATATTGAAAAAATATGCATTTCGACTCAAGTACTAAAAAGAATACACATCAATAGTTTGGTTTCCCTGATTGGCGTATCAACATCAAATTACTCTAATTTGTCAAAACCAAATGTTTCCTGTTAATTCCGTTCGTTTTTGTTCTGTCAATTTTCAGTTGTAAAATATCAACACCACCAGGCTAAGAAAACTATCATGAGACTGGAGCAGGCAGCTAATGCTCATATGCAAAGATTTATTGCGTCTCGAGGAGCGTTTGGTGTTTTGTATGGTCGCCATTCAAACCATTTTATTAAAAAACCAGAGGTATTTTAATGTTGTTTCACTGATGTCCAATCTTATGAGAATATATCTATCAGTCTCCTAACATGATAAGATGAATGCATGGTAGGTTTTGGTTGGGAGGGGAACTGCAGACACAGAAGTTGATATTGATTTGAGCCGAGAATGTCGTGGTGGTAATAAAGTTTCCCGGCGGCAGGTAAGTTTTGAATTATATATGATCAATAAATCTATAAGGGGGGTTTATTATTATTATTATTATTATTATTATTATTATTATTAATATTATTATATTTATATTATTATTGATACTCCCTCCGTATTTAAAAGAACCATACATTAGGTTATGGCACAAAATTTAAGGGAAAATGATAGGGGTAATGAATAGTATAGAAAAAGTAGGAGAGAAGGTGGAAAAGTAGGAAGGAGAGGATAAAAAGTAGAAAAAGTAAGGGCAATTGAGTATTTTTAAGGGAAAAACTTACCAAAAAGGGAAAGTGTATGGAACTCTTAAATACATCCCAAAATGGAAAGTGTATGGAACATTAAAATACGGAGGGAGTATCATTTTAGTACAAATAATCCCGCGGGCCCTGAAGTTAACTACCATGATGGGATTCAAACTAGTGAACTCTAGGAACTTTCTGTTTCTGCGTTCAAACCAGTTGAACTACCGTGGTGGGTTTACAAGGAGGATTTTAGATCCCAGATATTGCAATTCAAAGGAAAAAGTATTAAGGGAAAAAATTATTTAATTCAGTCTGGTTTCTACACTTCTTTGTTTTGAAGCAACAATAGTCTATGCAATTTTCGACGCGATTTTCACTATGGGTCATTCGAAAAAACAGTCTCTCTGTGCTTTAGTACAGGGGTAAGATTGCGTATATCCGACCCCCCTTACCTCACCATAGGTGGGATTGTGGGAGCCTTTGCGGCACTTGGGTTTGATGATGATGATGAATTCAGTCTGGTTTCTACCATGGAAACAATGGAAAATGATTATTTTTCCAAATTACTCATTTTAGTCTCCCGCCATGAGATCATTTTTGGTATCATGCCGTCCCAAGCCAGGATAGAGGAGGAGGTTGTTGTGGTAGGCTTGAGACGGCCAATAGTATCACTTAGTAACATGACATGACTCATTTTAGTCTCGAAGTACTTATCTTATTTCCATTTAGAACACATTTTTCGGAGGCAAACACAAGTTCATCTGCGTTCCACTTTTGTCCCCAAAATTTCTGAAGTGACAGTATGCTTTTTTCTGCTTTGATGTTAGTAGTCATTCATTTTTATGCTGATATATAAGTATTCCCAAGTTTCTCAAATGGTACACTGGGGCAGACTTCTCTAGGATTCTAGGAATATCCAAATGTTGGTGATTTTCATTTTAGGTAAGTGGACAGTATTTTGGGACGAAATGACGGTCAGACAGGTAAAATGGGATGTAGTCTCTCTTTCACTTTCTATATAGGGCAATATGGGTGGTAGCACTAAAATTTACACATGTGACGATCCATATGATATATATGTATATCTGACAATTGAGTGATCCAAAAATTATGGTAGTGTTGTTACAAGTTGTGTGCTTGATTCATCTTAGGCTCGACATAGGCTTCTCTTTCATTTTAGTACAAGGGTAAGGCTGCGTACATTCAACCCCCCTTACCCCACCGTAGGTGAGAGACTTTGCGGCACTAGGGTAATGTTGTTGTATAACTATCCTCTATTCTCATTATCTTTCATTACCATTTCCAAGTCCCAATGGACCCTAATATGCCAGTCTCTCATAAGTCACTTTATTGTAAAGGAAAATAAAAAAATGCGCCTTTTTGTATTTCGCAATTATTTTGGTAAATAGTAGCGACTATTAACGTCAGGGGAAAGCCAGTTTATGTTGATTTAGTATGTCATAATGTGAATATCTGTTCAGCTACTTTTCTTTGTTTCTTGCCCTCTCTTACACGAAATATCTTATACGGAGTAGCATTTAGTGCCTTGTACATCTTAGAGCCTCTTCGTTAAAGGGTAAAGCTGGCTGAAATGAGTGAGGTGAGATCAAATTGTAGCTAAAATGGTTCAATAAGCTGAATTATCTAAAACTATATGTAGAAACATACTTAATAAATGTTAATGTCGAATAAAATGATGAAAATAATAGAGAAAAGGGACAAATAAGTCCTCAAACTATTTGCGATAATTGAATGCCTCTGAACCGGAAGACTTGCAAATGCACCCCTCAACTCATTGAAAATTAGGCATTGAGATCCTTTTTTATCTGCTGGTGCAGATAAGGAGATAATTTCTCATAGAAATTACCGGCACCAACAGGTAAAAAGGATATGGTTGCACCAGCAAGTCTTCCTGTTAAGGGGCCTGATTGCAGCCTCGCTAATAGCTCGAGGGCTTATTTTCCCCTTTCTCAAAATAATATCTACAAATGAGTAAATGACAATAGAAGTGTAATTTCTCTTTACTTCAATAACTTTGATCAGAAAGTAACTTTTACAGTACTTTGATATTAAGCATAAAATTTAGCTCATGAGGTGGATAAGCAGAAACCTTAATGCTGTTCTTACCCGCATTCTATTTCTTTTTAATATCACTGATAAGGCAATCATGAAGATCAACATGGATGGGACTTTCGTATTGCAAAATGTTAGCAAATACTCGATTCATATGAATGGGAAAGAAATAGCACCCCTCCAAAGTGTACATCTTACAGCAAGTTCTTTGATTGAGGTATGTATGGCCTAGTTTTCACTACATTGATTGATCTATATCCCCGTAAATGTAAATTTTAGTTATTTTTTCTCCCCTTTCTTCCATTTCTTATTTATCTAGGATTACTTACAATCATCTTTCCCGACGTTCGGTCAAATTACCAAATGATCCTCTGGTTTTATGAAAATTACAACTACGCACCATGAGCATTCAAATGTTTTTGCAAACAACGTTGAAGATGATATGATGTAATTATAGAAGAATCTATGATGTAATTATAGAAGAACCCGAAAATTTCAGACTGCATTTCATACTTTTCCATAGCATGTGATCGGTATTTATACAATGGTGCAGGGAGTGTATAAGGAAACTACTAATTACAGTAATAACTACAAAGATATGTAACTGAAGATTCTAATAAATAATTATAACTGATGTAATAAATAGTTATATTCTGGATTCTTCTATAGTAATGATATTATTATTATTATTATTATTATTATTATTATTACTATTATTATTATTATTATATTATATTATTAGTAACATTTCAGTTTTTTGGACTAAATAATTGTCACCAAGATTCTCTGTGACAGAAGTTTTAAATGTTTTAGCTGAAAAAAGCATGAATTCAATCTTAAGATGCAAAACCTACCTAGTTAAGAGGGGAGTTGTAAGACAAGTCTAGATAGTTGAGGATTTGTTTGTGATATATTCAGATACTTCAAAGGGTAATTTGGAAGTTTAATCGAAACACAGGGAGGTAGATGTAATTAAACATTCATCTAAAAAAGGAAACTATTTGCAACACGTGCAGATAAGGGGAATGTCATTTGTATTTGAGATGAACCTGAACCGAGTAAAGCAGTTTCTTGAAGACATAGTCAGGGAAAATGAAGTTTGAAAAACTGCTCATTAGGTCCCTGAAGTGCCGAAGTTTTTCGACGCGCTTTAAATAAAACAGTTAAGTTTTCTTATTTATTTTCCCCCTCTAATCTGTATAGATAGGAGTTCTCTGTGCATCAGTAGGAGAATGTTTTCTACATTTTTCTTCTTCCATTCCACCTTTCCGTTTACTAATCAATATGCAGTTATCCTGTGAATATATCAAGTGGCAATATTACCAAACAGAAAAAGAGAAAGCATCTGATTGTTATTTTTAGGTCGGTTCGGCAGACTGATAGAAGTTAGAAGTTATTTAGGAGGCTGTTGAATTCTAGGCATCAGTGTGTATAGATTTTAATGGATAATACACGTCTTGTTTTATGACCTTTTAGTCTTATATTTTCTCTATCTCGTTAAGATTGTCTCATCTGTCTTTTTCAGTCCAGTCCACTAAGATGGTCACATATCCAATTTGATAAAGTTTGTGGGATTTTAATTCGTTTACATTATTTTACTTTATTAATTCAATAGCAATCACATTAACTCATTTTTCTTAGTAATTGCACCACCTCCTCATGCCCTAAAGTTAGGATGAAGGTAGTATTATTCTTTTATTATTGTTATTATTTTTATCAGCAGGAAAATTTAGTTTTGTTATAAAATCATTGACGGGACAATTGGGAATTGTTCATCTATGTAAACAAGGTCGTGCCCTCTGTTGAGACCTGTGAGGCATGGGCGTCATCCCTCATGGCCCAAAAAATTTAAAACGAAGTTAGAGCCCAAAATTTCACACACACATAGGGATGGACCCGGGCTGGTTCTGGTTCGGGCCTAGGCCCGGCCGGGCTATTTTTTTTGGGAAGGGAGAACCGAAACCGGTCCGGGTAGGCAGCGGTTCCGGGCCGGTCCGGGTTGGTCCGGTTCAATGTTATTATTTTTTTATTTTCTTTGCTTTTCTAATTAACCCCCAACCCCCCCTCCCCTCACCCCCACCCCCCCCCCCCCCCCCAAAACACCCAGGCCAACTCGGGAAAAAACAAAAAAATTGAAAAAAAAAAAAAAATAGGCCCAGATCGGGCCCGGCCGTGCCGGTTCCACTTTTAGGAGGCCCAAGCCCGCCCCGTGTTTTAACCAGTTCGGTTGGCCCAAACCGGCCCTAAGACCGGTTACCGGGCCAGGTTGGGTCGGGTACAAACAGTACCAGTCTGGGCCGGTTCCGGGTCGGGCGGCCCGACTCGAGTGACACACACGGAAAGGATCCTTTCCAGCATGAGGGAAATGATGGTTCATCTGGCAACCACAGTTTGGTGTGGTTCTCGGTGGAATGTTTTGATGAAATTTTTTAAGCATGTTTCTCATCAAGTCTAGTTTATCCACAAATATTTTCAGCTTAAAATTCAACCGGGAAAGTAGTCAATTAATTTTTTAAAAATCAGTGTTTTATATGTACATTTTGATGCAGTTATCTTCAAAAAAAAAGTATTTGGTTGCTTTCCCAATTGAATTTTTGTGTGTATAAACTAGACTTAATGAGGAACATGCTAAAAAAACTTCATCAAAAAATTCTACCGGAAATTGCCCCAAACAGCGATGGCCGGATGGAGCATCCTGTCCCTCTGGCTGGACAAGATCATTCCTCTCCCTCTATATCTATCTATAAATATTAAATTTCAAATTTCAAAATATAATTATGAAAAGTTTTGCCAAGTGTAAAAATTCTAGATTTTATTTCCAATTTGGTTATCATGTAAGTTAATTCTACTATACACGTTACATGAGAATTTAAGTTAGAATTTATACGACATTAATTTACAACTCTTTCTCGTTAGAGCATCTCCATTCATGCTCTCTAAAAAATTTGATTTTTTCTACCACATCATGAACACGTAAAAAATCTGAAATAATCTTAAAACTCTACATATGTAAATCCATGTACCACTAATCAAAATATAAAAATTAGCCACGGTAAACTTTCGTATTTAATGCATTACACATATGTAACCTCTTTCCAATTTTTTATATTTAATGCTTTTTTCTTGGACTCTATGAATGATTAAAAAGTAGGCCAAAAATCTCCAAATAATCTAGTTTCAATATTTGATACCAGATTTTTTAAGAAAATAATCTTTGCAAATAATCTCTTCTTCTCAGTCATAATCTCAAAGAAAATCATCCACATCATCCAATTGATCTCTAAATAATCTAAACAATGGGATGCTCTTATAATAGAACTCATGTCTAATTACTTTAGAACTAGAATTCATTTTAGATTATACCAAGTAATTCAAAAAGTCATAAAACATTCTATAAATTCTACATTTCATCTAAGTAAAATATAAATAAACAATTATTGGATTTTTTTGTGTACGACTTGATTTCAACAAAATTTTGTACAATATTTGTGTAAATTTTTCCCAATGTGAATAGACCAATCATCTATCATACCAGTTCAGATTAGATCACACTTAAACAAACTTGATTAGACCAAATTAGAAAATTTTAATTCAACTAAAACTATTTTTAAAGCAGCCCTCTTTAAAATTTAGAACTCAGTATTAGATTAGAATTCAAAAAGTCTTCTAAAACATTCTAGATTCTAATGTCCTGAAATAGCACTAATAAAAGTAATAACGATTGGATTAAAATTTCTGATCTTGAATAAATTCACTCCAATTATCTTAACACGCTTAAAATAAGTGTCAATATAAACCTTTTTCTTCTTTGGCAAATAATTTCTGTTTTACAGCATTTGTCCATACTCTCTCTCCTGCACAACTTAAGGCCACATATTTCTCACTTTCTTAATCCGCATGCAAAGTCAAAATTAGAGATAATATTGGGACGAAGAGAGTAGTATACATTTGAGGTCGTCAACTAATATACTACGATCAATGTGGGATATGTTATTGGTTTTCCTCAATGTGCTGCTTCACATTTTCAATGAGCATTTGGCCAATAGATATATGATCAAAATAAATATTTCCCAACTAAAGTCTATTAAGATCATCATACTCTCAATGACTAATATAAATAAACGAATGTGGAATGTGGTTGTTGTTGCTCAGAGACTCACCAATTGTTTTCACACAGCCTATTGTCAGTTTGTCACTATCATCACCACTATTAAAATCTAAAGGTCACAAAACTTTAACAATAATAATAGTTCTGTTTATGAACTTTAACATTGTTGTTATCCTATTTAAGAAATTCTCTCATGGTTTGAAGTGAGCTGGAATTTCCTGTGAGAGTTTGTAGAGTAGAATTTCATTTCGAAAGAAAAAAAAGGCAGACATTGGGGGAGCTACAACTTACAAATATAAAATACTGATAACAACAGCTTGGAGAAAAAGAAGCAGCACAAGCAGCGCACACTCTGTAATTTACGGCTGGGAATGGTATCCACAAGGGTTTTGGCTTGCCCATCTCCACTGGTCCCTGCACATCTCATCTATTCCCTTCTTCGCCCTGCCACCCAAACAACCGACCAACCAAACATACATACATAAATGCATACAAATGTTGGTAGTTTAGTACTCATAACGACGGCAATGATGATGGAGATGGTGGACTTACTTCCAACCAAGCTCTTTTTCAGCCCTCACAGTCGATGCGTAAACAGCTGTGGCATCTCCCGCTCTTCTTTCACATAGTTTGATTGCAATTTTCTGCAACAACAAATAATTATGCACACAATCAGCACCTCCCAATAAGTAGTTCCACACCAGAATATATTCAGAAAGTGGCATCCCAGTTTATCTAATGTCAACATCAACAACAAGGTACATACCTTCCCTGATGCTCTTTCAAAGGCAGCTACCATTTCCAAAACAGATGTGCCCAGGCCGGTTCCCAAGTTGTAGGCAACACAACCTAAAATGCACGTTCACGCAAATATGAACTAGAAACAAAAACAAAACCCACGCCACTGATTTGATTGGTCATAGTATTCATTATCAAAATGCAAACACACTTGCCACTATAATCCATCCATAAGCAGCATGTTTATCTATGTTTCATAAAAGAGGGTACCCCTACCAATATCCTCTTGGTTGAGAAGTCGATTAAGTGAAACAACATGGCCATCCGCTAAATCCATAACATGTATATAATCTCGTATCTGTCAAATCATTAGGTTTAATCAAGGTTGGATTATATTGCAAGATGGATGCGTGCGGCAGTTGGAATAACAATGTGTGTGTATACATATAGTCCGATTCTAGTGAGAACACTCCTTAATGTGAGACATGAGAACACTCCATAACAATACATATTATGTTTCACAAAGGTGCACATTTATAATTAAAATAATACAAAGTTTAAATGTGCACATTTGTGTGTAAACTAATGCACTGTTCAGATGCACACTTTCTAATTTATGATAGCGCACATTACTGTTTCATATAATGCACGATACCCAAATCCAACGCTTCAGAATCATTCTCTGTTAAAGTATTTCTCCCGCACCGGAAAGCTATAAAACAATAAAAAACTGTATATGGCTTTGGGTTGCTCCGGGTCTTTTAGGATGGAACTCCGGGTCTTAACATTGTATCAGATCCAAGTACAATATTGGTTTGACTGCTTGATTAGTACTCATGATAAAAAGTAACTTATTAAGGGCCTGTTTAGCCCATTTATACACCTAGATATTGTCTGGCCCGGTTCGGTTAAGGGGCGTGTTAAAGTATTTGTCCCACACTGGAAAGCTATAAAACAATAAACACTATGGGGCTATTTGTTTTTCAGCTGGATCCATGCCAACACGTTGCTTTTAGCAGCGGTTTGTAGTTCAAAAAAAAAAACAACGGATTGCCCAAACTGCCGTTATACAAACGAGACCTATATAAGGCTTTAGACTACTCCTTCTATCAGGTTGACTTTTTAGGATGAAACTTCGAGTCTTAACATTCTCCTTTCTCTCATTAGATCATGTTCTCATTTGAATCAAATTATATATAGGGAACACTCCTTAATGTGAGAAATGAGAATGTTCTGAAATGATGCACAATATGGTTAATGAAAATGCAAATGTGCACATTTACGTTTAAACTTTTGCACGGTTAAAATGCACATTTTCCAATTTTTGATATGCACATTTCTGTTTTACATGATGCCCGATACCTAAATACAAAGCTTCAGAATCATTCTCATTTGTCTCCTTAGATAATGTTCTTATATTATTTGGTTCAAATGAGAAAATGATATAAGGGGGGAAATGAGAATAATTCTGGAGTTATCACAAATGTGCATCGTTTTAGAGTGTTCTCATCGAAATCGAAACCTATATATACAGGTATAGATATAATCAGCAAATAAATGAAAGAAATGGAGATTATTACGGCAGTGCCATCTGGGGTGGGATAATCATGACCATACACATTTAACTCGGGCAACCGACCAAGCGCTACGTGTTGGATGTAAGGCATGAGATTGTTGGGTATGCCTTTAGGATCTTCCCCAAGTCTTCCACTAGGGTGAGCCCCTACTGGATTG